CAAAAAAAATATCATAATAATTTCTAAATTGATTCTATACCAATAATGTTTATTTCTATAATTTTCTGATGTTAAAATAGGATTAGCACTTTCATTTTGCTCCTTAAATTGTTCTATTAGAAATTTCAATAATTAACATGAAACCTAATTAATTGTCATAGCATAATGAAGCTTTGCATAATTTTGCTATTTTGGGTTATTCAATATGAGCTCAACAAATTTAGTTGGAAATATTTAAAATTTTGTTTCTATTAAGAAATTATCCAAAGTTGGGATTGTTTCAAAATAAAATAGAAATATTAAGATTATACAATCCTTTAGCTAAATATCTATAAATTAATATTTCATATAGCGAAATACTTGGTATTATAATTAAGTATCTATTAAATTTTAAATTTCTTAAGAACCTCCATCAGCATAACCAATACAATTAATTGAATATATAGAGCAATTACTAACAAATATCATAAGTAAGAACAAATACTCAAACTAAAAATCATCTTAATTTAATTAACAATCAAACATCGAAGAAGATTTGATTATTTGATTTAAAAATTAATCATCTTTATTTATTTATAATATATTTTTAGTTATGAAGTATATATTTATATACATCAAAACCCAGTTTAATCATAAAATCGTAACTTGTGTTTTCTATCTATCTTTTCTATCTATTTATGGCTATAAAACGATCAAGAATTGTAGCATCTTATTTTATAGATTTCTTTTAAATAATTTAAATATTCTTATATTTAATAATTAAAATTAAATTGTCTTAATATTATCAATACTACATTATGATTAACTTAAATTATTAACATTCTTTTTTTTATCTTAAAAGAATATTTAAGAACAAATAATAAATTTTGTTACTGAGCTTCCTAAATTCAAATATTACCCACTACTTTTAGAAAAAGTTAATTTCATAATTTTTAATTATTATTAAGGCAAAAAAAATTAGATGATTAATTATAAAATCTAAAAATAAAAAAAAAGATTTAAAGCTAAGATTTCAACTATAGTCTTTATCTTTAACAAATACAAATTTGAATTTCAATCAAGATTCTAATCACCTAATGTAAAAATAAATTTTAACACAACATAATTCACATATAAGATGAATTTATCTAATATAATATACTGATATTAATATCCTCTCAAAATTATAAGCTCAATCTAATTATATATATTATAAATGTATTTATTTTATAAAGATTGTTTAAAGGCTGTAATTCTTGTAAATAATTGATTAAGATAAATAATTTAGATCCTTCAACTAGATAACAAAATCTTTTTTAAACTAAAATGATGAACATTTCAAATTTTAATTTATATTTTTGTTTTCAATAATAATCAGATTTAGATTTGTCGAGCTAAATTTTATTTACATTAGTCTAATTTTACTCTTTAATTAACCAATTTTAATATGAAGAATTTTTATTATTACATTATTGAACATTTGATTAATAAAAACTATTATAAAGTATAATTTGTTTTAATTAAAGAACAATTTAAGTTTTAATTTTTCTTTAATTATATATAATTCAATTCCATATAATTATGTGTTTAACTTACTAATGTATGTTATTTAATTATTAGAATTTATTTGATATAGTATCTAAAATTTATAAATAAAACTGTAGAAAGGAATTCAAATAATAATTAAAAATAATAATATTTATTCTTATTTTTGATGTTCATATTTAATGTAAAATCATATTGATTTGTACTATCTAATTTAAATTTGTTATGACATGATATCCCATGTAATTAAGTATTCTCCATCACTTGTCATAGTTCCATAAATTATTGCATCAGATAATTTGAATTTAATAACTTGTTATGATTTACATTTGAATTTAATATTTGATTGAAATGCAAATTTAATTAAATAAACTTTAGATCCTAATTTACTCACAAGGATTTATTTTTAAGGAATATAAATTTATTGAAAATGAGGGACGTACTGGCATTTTTTGTTGCTATATTTAAGTTCTTTAGTTTTAAGAAATTATTGTGTAGATTGATCATAAGAATAAAAAAAGTTAATGGAGTAAATTGCAAGTGAAAATGAAAAGACATCATTTGTAATAAATGTCATTCTTAAACTAAATATTTTCACAGGTATCTTTTATTTAACCTCCCATATATTTAAATTAGATCTCTCCATAAATAAAATGATGTTATCCTCACCAGAAGATATCAATCTATTCCCATCTTAATTTATACATAATCCAGAAATTGATTTAGAATGTTCATTAATTGTTTATAGACAAAGCCATGATTTTAGCATAGCCCAAAACTTTATTTTACCATCTTTTGCTCCAGTGATAAATTCTTATGATAAAGTTACTAAACAATATATCATTTAGGTATGTTCTATAAGTTTATTTGTATATTTAGGGTTAGATAAGAGATTTGTGGGCCATAATGTAATTACAACAGAATTAATATAAATATATGAGCAAGTGATAAAATGAGAACCTTTTTTAAAAAATTAAATTTCTGACATTATTTTATAACAAATCTTTATTGTTTTAATTTATTTAAGATAACCTTATTTAAACTGATATAATATGATTCCATTATTTGCTGGTACTATCAGAATATTATTTTATTGATTAATTATTATTGTTGAACATTGGCTTTCGTAATGTTTACTTCTATCTGCCAGAAGTTAATATTTAAAAGAATTTTTAAGATTTTAACTTTCCTTTTTGGGTTTGTTGATTGTTTTCTCTGGATTCATAATGCTATCAGAATTAATAAATTATAAACAGAATTTATTAATTTATCTTTTTAAATTTTTTTATTAACATAATTAAACATTCTAATTAATTATATATTAGCGATTTAAATTAATGATTCCTATCATTTCCAACTTTGAAAAATTTACTTAATACTATCATTTAGTATTAAAACTATTCGTAATAAATTAATAATCAAATTCACATGATAAATATCATGTCATAACAAATAATATAACATTCAATTCATATATATTTGAGAGATATATGAAAATTTGATTTAATTTTTCTGTCAGAAAATAAATTATTTTTATATAAATTATTTAGAATCAAATCAAAAAATTAATATTATAAATGATCGTTTTATTATAATTCATATATCAGTTAATGATTGGAGGCTTATCATTCTTTATTATGAAATCCTATAATTCTAATCAAATAACCCAGGCTTTTATTATTTAACATTATCAATAATTGGTAATCCTTTTTTTCAACACTTTATGAAAGATATTTTTGTCTGATTGATATTTAATTTTTTGCTAATGGGATCCCAAATAATTTTAACTTGAGAAATAGTTTTTGAACTTTTTTCCTTTCTTCAACTCTATTTTTCAAATATCTTCTTAACCAAGTATGTCTTTTATAAGAAGGTAATTTTAGTTTGATATAATCTTTTATTTTATCAAAATGGATTTCATATTCTTTTGAATATTCCATTATTATTTTTTTAATTATTTAATTGAGAAATAATAGGTTTAATAAAGCTATTATAAATAAAAAAATGATTTGGAGTTCTATAATTGCAGTTTCTTAAGAAATATAAATTCCAATAGCTAAACCAATAGTAATCATACAAATATTAGTGGAATATTAATCTAATTTGTTTAGATTATTCAAAATATAGGGTTTGTAATATTCATTTAATTCTTAATATAAATATGTAATAAATAAAACAAGTACACCTTTTGCAACTACACTATCTTAATAATAAAGAAGAGAAAGTATAATTAATTATTTTTCAACAATTTTGATTAATTCCCAAAAATATGCTTCTTTTTTATATTCATTGTATAAATAACCCCATAGTTGTCTTATATGTTTTTTTTCAAGATTCTCTTTATTGGAATAAAGACCAAAAAAGAAAAAGGCTGGTATTATAATAGCAAATAATATTATAAGTGGTAAACAAAATTAGAAAATCCATTTAGTATGAGAATCTGTATCATATCTTTATGAAACATTTGCTTAAATCCATTTAAAACCAGATATATTTCGATAGGAAACTATTTCAATAAATCCATTAATTAGATTTGGTTAAAAATAACAGTAAATATAAATTAAAGTTGTTGTTACAACACTTGGATTAAATTTAATATTTCTTATTTTGTATGTAAAGAAATAAAAACCAATAAAAATAGTAACATACATCACAGGTAAAGTCATTTACCATATCATTCTTATATACTATATTTCATAATCTTATAGAGCAGCTAAAAAGCAATCTAGAGAGTAAGAAGTTGTTTATAAAGGATTTCCTACAATTTCTAAAGAACTATTTAAGCCTTCTGATAATTACAATTAAAATGTAGTGATTGCCACAATTATTTAAAAATAATTAGTTAATATTTTAATTAAAATTCCTGATTACGCTTTATTTAAATTAATTGAGCTTTTCAATATTTTAAAGGGTTAATACTTTGTATAATTTTCAATAGTTTTAATATTTCCGGATACAGAAATTAAAAGAAATATGAGTGTGAAAATAATTATTCCAAGAATAACAATAATATTTCTATCTCTTTCAGCACATGGACTACATATAAACTTCTTTATTACAGAATATTATCCACTTCCTCTAATATTATATAAATCGCATTATTCACATAGAGATCCAATGTGACCAATATAACAAGAGTTATCTCCTTCTTAAATACCTCCTAAACAATTAGAATTTAAATTAAGGCAAAAGCTTATCTTTATTGTATCAAAATAAGGTCTCCAATATCCAGGTCTTAAAATTAGCTAATTTTTATAAATAGATAATGTAGAAAAATCATCTTTAAGATCACATTTTTCAGCATTTAAGGTTAAAGAAAACATATCTTAATTAGAATCACATTTTTAACAAGATTAAGTAGTTCTATTTTTGATTTCACCAAATTAACAATTAAATGTCCTTATATTAACTCTTAACATATAATTAGAATGATAATCAATAATCATAAATGGATATTAATTACTGAAGATAGGAACTTTTATTGAATTGCACATAATTTACAATTAAAGTACTATTTCTTCTGGATATTAATTCTCAAAAAATATTATCATATCATCTAAATTATAATTTTATGTTGAAATATTATAATAAATCTTTGGAATACTTGTATAATAGTAAATTTTTAATAATTTTCATAATCTTATTCAGATATATTAGTTCTTCTACCTTAAATAGTGCAATAAGAATTTTCAAGATTATTAATACTATTAATATCTTCTCCTAAAGCATAGATTTTGAAAATAAAAAGTGGATTTAAATAAATCTTTTTTTTCCAATCAAAAATTTAATATTCATTTATTTTTTATCCTGTAGGTAATTAGAGGAAATTTATTTTTTTTCCCTTAATGCTTATATATGGATCAATGTCTAATTCTTGTATTTTAATAGTAGAATTTTCAATAAGAGTTTTAGTTTTTAAAAGCAAAGAATTTTCTTTAATTTAAATTGTTAGTTTTTAAGGAGATGAAGCAACATTATCACTATAAATTCTAGCTTGATTTCTTAAAATCTTAGTTTTGCTTTTTTCATAATTCATTCCAATCTAATCTTATAGATACAAACCTCCTTCATAAGAAGCATTATTAAATTAAATTATTGTATTTTCAAGAATGAAGTGTTGACTTCCTTTAATATATATGGAACCACCTTCAAAAGATGCAGTATTATTCTAAAAGTTACTATTTTAGACTAATGTAGAAATTGAGTTTATTCTCAAACAGGTCCCTTAATAGCCAAAATTATATTAGCAAATAAACTTATTTATTATGAATTCATAATTTAAAGTAAAACTATTTTATTAATTAAGAATTCTACTACTATTTTTAATAGAAGTTCTATATAAATTTAAACATCCTAAATTTCCACAAGTAGAATTTTGTACATATAGATATGTAATTTATTATTGTTAAGCTAATAATTCTTTACTTTAATAATTAAAACTAATTAATCCATAATCACAAATTGAACAATCAATATTAATTAAAAAAAGTTAAACAATTGATATTTTGTCTTAAGATGTTAACTCATGTAGTAAGATTAATCCTGAATTTTAAGTATCTACATTTTATTTAATTTAATCATATATGCAAAAAGCATAAGAGTAATTTTCTTAATTTTGAACCTCATTTGATAAGTTCAAGGGAGCACTTTAGATATTAGTTAAACATTAATAAATGATATTATCACTTTTGATGTCCTAATTTTGACAAGTTAAATTATTAAATTTAAATCCAAGTTATATTAATAAACTATAGATTATTTAGAATTAATTAGAGAGATTTAGCTATTTTAAATATAAATATATAAATACTTGAAAATGGAGTAATTTTTATCAGATTATTATTGATAAAAGAATTTTTAATATATACATCAGTTATATAAGCTTGATTAATAGATATCAATTAAATGAAAGATTCTAAAATTAGATTATTAATTTTAATATCTTAAATTTAAATCAGCGATCCATATTCTAAATAAATTAAGGATCTACTATTGGTTAGAAAATTTAATTCTTGCTGTGAAGGTATTTCACTAAACTTATTTAAAAATTAAATGTATCCATCATAAGAATTAGATACTTATAAATTCGTTAAACTAAAAACATGTTAATTTGCTACAAATTTTGAATATTCAACATAGAAAGCAGATCCTTATTATGCAAAAATATTTTCTAAATCAAGATTTGAAATATTGAGGATTGTTTAAGAAATATTTGATTTCAAATAAAGAAATCCTCCAAGTTATCTACAAAATATATTCTTAAACCTATTATTTATAATATTTATTAAAAGTTAAGCAGATGAAGAACCATCAATATAAATTCCTGCTCCATACTCAATTTCTTTATAAAACTATGTTTAAATATCTTCAAATTTGTTATTTATTATTGAAATTTTAGAAAGACCTTAAGGAAAGATAGAAAAGCATCCACCTAATGACCCATAAGAATTAAAAAAATTATTATTGATAAATGTTATTTATTTAGCAGTAATTTGTCCAATTCCAGATTATGATTTAACTTAAAAAACAGATTTGATAAATTATTGTGATATTTCAGTTGTAAAACCCCATAATATATGAGGTTAGAATATCTAATAATCAAAAATATTATTTTTATTAAATGAACTATTTATNTATGCAAAAAGCATAAGAGTAATTTTCTTAATTTTGAACCTCATTTGATAAGTTCAAGGGAGCACTTTAGATATTAGTTAAACATTAATAAATGATATTATCACTTTTGATGTCCTAATTTTGACAAGTTAAATTATTAAATTTAAATCCAAGTTATATTAATAAACTATAGATTATTTAGAATTAATTAGAGAGATTTAGCTATTTTAAATATAAATATATAAATACTTGAAAATGGAGTAATTTTTATCAGATTATTATTGATAAAAGAATTTTTAATATATACATCAGTTATATAAGCTTGATTAATAGATATCAATTAAATGAAAGATTCTAAAATTAGATTATTAATTTTAATATCTTAAATTTAAATCAGCGATCCATATTCTAAATAAATTAAGGATCTACTATTGGTTAGAAAATTTAATTCTTGCTGTGAAGGTATTTCACTAAACTTATTTAAAAATTAAATGTATCCATCATAAGAATTAGATACTTATAAATTCGTTAAACTAAAAACATGTTAATTTGCTACAAATTTTGAATATTCAACATAGAAAGCAGATCCTTATTATGCAAAAATATTTTCTAAATCAAGATTTGAAATATTGAGGATTGTTTAAGAAATATTTGATTTCAAATAAAGAAATCCTCCAAGTTATCTACAAAATATATTCTTAAACCTATTATTTATAATATTTATTAAAAGTTAAGCAGATGAAGAACCATCAATATAAATTCCTGCTCCATACTCAATTTCTTTATAAAACTATGTTTAAATATCTTCAAATTTGTTATTTATTATTGAAATTTTAGAAAGACCTTAAGGAAAGATAGAAAAGCATCCACCTAATGACCCATAAGAATTAAAAAAATTATTATTGATAAATGTTATTTATTTAGCAGTAATTTGTCCAATTCCAGATTATGATTTAACTTAAAAAACAGATTTGATAAATTATTGTGATATTTCAGTTGTAAAACCCCATAATATATGAGGTTAGAATATCTAATAATCAAAAATATTATTTTTATTAAATGAACTATTTATTATCTCTAAAGTTTAAGCTTCAATATAAATAATATTTGAACTACAGTTTGTTACCATATTATTTTATAATGATTAATTATTCAAATAAATTTAACAAAGTGGACAATTAAATATTAATAATCCAGCTGTTTCAATGTGATCATTTTTATATATAAACATGTAAAATATTACCAAATAAATTAATATTCTCTATTTATATTATACCATATTGAGTTGATTAAATTGATATAAGAGCAATTTGAAATAGTATTTCAGTTTTTAAAACTAAGTTTTAATTAAATATTAAATCATTTAAAATAACAACTTCTTTCTAATTCAGAATATTTAAATCAGCAGAAATAATTGAAATTATAGGAAAGTTATAAGTTATTAGTTTAGAGAAGGTTACATTTAAAATTTCAGTTTGTTAAGATGAAATTATATTAATTGTTGCTGAATAATATTAATCTTAAACTTATTTTAATTAACAATTTAAGTATTTATGTAGACCAAAAAATCTAAATTTCTTTTATTCAACAATTCCATTATGAATCTTAATTTTTTTACAATCATAAATAGAAAGATCATTTTAACCATTACCACGATCAATGAAAAAATTAGAAATTTCTACTACATCATATTGAATTGTTATTAATGAAAAATCTATTTATTTTCTATTGTAATTAAAATAATCGCTTTTGAAATAATTATTAATCTAATTTAAATAATTTATTGTAACATTTTATGTTTTACTTTAATATTTTTTCAGGTATATAAACTTTATTAGACTATCATACTGATTATTTGAAAAATCAACATTTGAAAATGTTTATACAATTATTAAATCTTTATAATCACTAATTATAATTCCACATGAAAACTTGAAGAAATAGTTAAAGGTGAAAGAAATATTTTCTAAATTACTCTAACGATTTAATAAAATTATAGTTGAATTTGTTATAATTGAAGATCTCATGATAAATTAATTTATATTTAATTTCGCTATCCCTTAAAAATTAAAAAAACTTTCAGAATCTTTAATGTTACTAGTAATATTAAAGTTTGTCATTTTAATCTCTCCAGACTCATTTTATTGACTCACCCTTATAAATTTTGAATTTGAAAAATTAGAATTTATGGTGATGTTGTCGAATTCAATTAAATCTCCTTAATTTAATTCTAAATCAAATAAGATTGAATTTTTAATTACACACTGAATTACTTTAATATTTTAAAAAATCAGTTATTTAGGATATTAAGTTGGCTCAGCTTTCAAAAAGCTTTCAGCCTGATTAATAGAGGAAAAATCTATAATTCCATTAGTAAATTAAAGGAATTTCAAATTAATTATATTAAATTGAAAACCTATTGTTAAACTTTCTTCTGTACCAATTTAGAATGTAATTTAATCCAAAATTATAGTTTAAGGGAAGATACTTTCAAAGTAAAATCCAAATTGCTATTAAAAAGGAGCTCCTATAATTTTTAATCCTGAAAAAGTGATTTTACTAAAGTTTATGATTTCTAATTTTCTATGAATAATAAAGATGGTTGAGGGATAAAAATTAAATTCAAATTTCGACATTACTAAATATTAATAAAATTAGAATACGTGAGAGAAAATATGTTTTCAGAAAAAGTTTATTTAATTTTTCCATCAATTAATAAATTGAACTGAGAGCCTTTATTTTTCATTTTAATAATTAGGGACTTGATAACCTTTGAATTTGCTAATGTGTAAAACTATTCATTTTAAAACTATTAATAAAATACATCATATATACTTCTGCTAAGGTAATATTAGAATTAATAAATGAATTAACTAATAAATTTTCCCTTTTGAATTTTTATCTAGCTTTTTCATCTTCTAATGAATTAAGGTCAGTTTCATATTGAAGATAATCACTATATAAATTAAATTCTATTATTAATTATTTAAAGCAACCACCATTACTTTCTAATTATAAACACTCTATAAATAAACCTAAATCTTCATCATAATAATATTTTTAATCTTCAAAAGTCTTCAAGCATTAATAAGTATATTTTAAATATTTCTAATTTTAAAAAAGAGGATTAATTAAAGAGATCTCTTAATCTGTTCTAATTCTACAAAGAGCACAATTATCAGGACACTCAATGCATTAATTATTTATTAAAGTTAATTTTTTTCCTTTTTATTCAGAGTAACATTAGATACAAATAAATTAATTCTTATAAAGTAAACATAATTAACAAGTTTCTTAACAATATGGAATACATTATTAATTATGTAATTTATATCCATCTAAGCATGTTTCACACAAAATTTCATAATCATTCGCATTTTAGCTTTCACCAAAAATAGTATATAAATGTGTATCAATTTTTCTATGTATCTTCTATAAAAGGCTCTAACTTAATTTTTCCATTTATCCTTTTATAAAGAATTCTAAGAATAGCATTTCATACATTTAAGCTCATTTGGACATTACAAACATTTACCTGATGGTTTTTATATGTAATACCCTTGTTAACATTCTAAACAAGTAAAAAAATTAATAATATCTGTTTATAAACAGACTTAACAATTTAAATTAAGACAATTCTTAGTAAATTGAATAACATCATTTTAATACAAGGATGAACTTAAACAAATTACTGAATCTAAGGATTGATCAAATTGATTGAGTTGGCCAATTCCTATTTGACAATCTTATGTAATGTTATCCTTAATACATTCATTAGTTTCAAAAGTGAATACATAATTTTAATTACATTTTGCACATAATGTCAATATTTAATCAAATTGTGGTTAAAAATTAAAATCTAAAGTATTTTTAGTGAAATCATTTTTTATTACTTAGAATGCATAACTACAATTAATAATTGAATTTATTTAACAGTTCTATGCATCAAATGATATAAAATATTTAGAATCATCTATGCATCTATTACATTTTAAATATTAATAATCTAAAAATTTATCATCATAAATCTAACAACTTTAACAAAATTTTCCACATTTTTAACAATATCCACCAAATAAGCTGTAAGATTAAATACATGAATTACAAATTGGTTAATCATATCCATCATTTTCACATGTTAAACATTCAATTGGACAATTTTAGCATTAACCCTACACTTCATACACTATTTTATTATTAATTTATCAATACCATCCTGAATAACAGGCATAACAATATCCAAAAGAATCATATATGGGACAATCATATTACATTTTAAAACATTATCGTGAATCAATATCCATTATATAATTTGATTTACATTATAAATACTTATAACTACCTAAATGATAAAAGTTATATTTGTAGCAATTATCCACTACTTTTAATTCACCATCACAATAATCTTCAAATTCTGGATGTAAAAATAACTCATTATCTAAACCAATAGAATAAACATCATTATAAATAGGATCTCTCTCGACTAATTAATAAGCCTCATTATTTAATTAATGTAAAATCTTTTTATAATCATATTTACAAGTTGGTTTCAAATACCAAGTTTTATAATACCAAAAACAATCAGCACAAAGAATATTTTATTAAGTTATAGATTATGGACTAAATAATTTTATATTATTGATTACCATTATTTACATTCATATTTATCACTATCTATTGGCAATCTGAAATATCCAAATGGACAAATTCCAATATTATTTACACACACTTCATTTAATATAAAAACATAATTAAACTAATTTGTACAAAATCCTATTTCAAATTCAAAATATCCTTAATTACAATTACACTCAAATTTTTCACTTTAAAAATATCTAAGAGAATTCTCATCACAACTTAAACAATCATTTTATAAAGGACCTTTACAAGTTAAACATGAATAATGGCAATCTAAATTATATTATTTAAATTATACTCAAATCTAATTCTTTATCTTCATTATAATTATATTTCATACGAAAATCAAATATCTCAGCTTATAAAAAATTATTATTAAAATTATCACTTCCAAAAAATATATTAAATTTACTACTTGTAAAAGATCCATCAAAAATCTCATTTCCCATACCTTCCTTTATTAATCCTATCTCATTATAAAATTAAGCTTGAAAAAGCATTCTCTCTTAAAAATTACTTCTTCCATATTCATATTAAATAAAATGCCATTACTGTAGCCCCTCAAAATATTGAAGATTATTTAAATTTTAAAATATTCTTTTTGATTAATAAATATCTTAATTAGTATTTTGAGATCCTTTGAATGTTTAATCAAACTATTATTAAAAGGATTATTAAACAGGCATACTATAAGCATCTGTGTATATTATCATATTTGTTTATTCAGGGTTTTTTTTTGATAAAAAAACTTCTATTTTAAATAGTTCATCACCTAATTACTTCTCTTAATAATAATTTAAAAAGGGAGTCATTCTTAATAAAATATATTTTTATTCATTGATATCATTAACTAAATATTTTACCCACCCAGATAAACAATATTTATTTCCATAATGCTCTATAAAATTTTATTAAGCATAAACACCATCAAATATTTTAAATCCGGGTACAATAGTTACAATTTGTTCATCTATGTGCTTTGGAGGAATTTGGTTATCATTAACTGTTTCTTAGAAAGTAACATCAGAATAAAAAAAGTTTGGTAAAAATATAATATGAGACAACAAACCTTTGAAAGTGTTTAGATTTAAATCATTTATCTGTATATTTTTAATATATTTACATATCCTCTCCCTCCTAAAACGATTAATAAATGTTATTGTATATTGGTTAAAATTTGAACTTATTGCTATGGTTATCCACTAACCTCAACAATGATCATTTTAAGTGATGGTTATATTAAGATTAAATGAAATATCCAAATTCCTTCATATTCTAAACCTTGAAATTCATATTATAGAATCACATTTTAATCATTATTCATTATTCTTATCTAATGTTGCACCTTCAAGTTTTCATAATCTAACAATTTAGAAACTAGAAGAATGTTTGAATTTGTATCAATATCTTTCACCAATAATAACATCTAACCATATTCAGTTTTTAAAAAATCGTATGGATTATCAAAATCTATGTTAGAATCATGAATGAGTAAAGGAATACTCATACTCCAAAATCCTAATCCATATGAATCTCCTTTATCTAAAATTTCCATATTTATGTCTTATTCATAAGTTTCTGCACTTTTTGATAATATGGCTTCATTATAATTGGAAAATGAAGTTGAACATAATAAGGGTCCTTAAAATAACAATAATACTATAAACATCTAATTTAGAGTCAAACTATTATGCTTATACATCTAATCTAATTTAATTATAATTGAACAAAAGGTACTTTAAGATTTAAAATAAAATCATTTAAGAATATCTTTTTATAATTACTTTTTTAAATAATATTATAATTAAATGTTTAGAAGCTTTAATACAACAATTATTCTTGTAGTTTAAGTTGATATAATAAATAACAATTAATTTAATGTCAATCATTTTAATCAAGATCTTAAGTAGTAGAACTATGTACTATCAGAGTTTATTTTACAAGTGAGAGAATAAAGAAAATAAATAATGAAAAATATGAAATTAAAATAGAATTCCATCTGTTAAATATACGTATGTTAATTTTATATAAAAAGTGATTTATTCATATTTCACAAAATGGGTTAATTTATTAATTTAACTAAAATTACAAATATATTGTTACTCAATACAAAAAAATTTGGAAAATTTAATAAAAATAGTTTCTAATTGATGATTATATATTAATATTACTATATACCTATAAAGATGTAGAAATAATAAAGTTTAAATTTATTTTTATAGCTTCACAAAATAATGGTGCTCTTTTATCATCTGCTAGAAATAATGCTTTTATTGTTGCAACTCTTAAAAATTGTCCTTTAAGAGTATAACAACTCTACAAGTTGGATATGGTACTGTAAATCTAAATGGGTAGGTTATTGTAGAATTTTTTATAAGCTTATGAAATCAATAGTGTTAGGTTTTGAATATATGACAATGATGCCAGAATTACTGATATACAAATTTTTGTAGTTGGATCAGATAGAACATCAGAAACTAAGATATTTGATTGCCTTGTATACTCTAGAGTAAGCACTGTTAAATTTACTGATTAATTGATTTCTAAAATAAGATTTTATAATAAAGCAGGAAACAATTTGTTTGAACATTATATATTAATAATAAAAATTTAAGCATATTACAGCTTTTGATTCAAGTAAAATAAGAAAATATAATGTTATTTTTTATATTCTTTTATGTTTTTATGTTTTATTTCAAAAATTTGTATTTTTGAATATAAAAGTGCATGATTCAATTATATAAAAATAATTCTATTCAAGCCTAGATTGATAATGTATAACAATCCAATGATGTTATTTTGAAATGTTTTTTTTCTCTAAGAATTACATTAATATCTTTATATAGTTTAAATCAAGCAAATTATTTATTATTTTGTAGAAGCATTTAATTTTTTCAAATAGAAAATTGATTTAATCCACTCTAAGTCACATATATTAATTTTTAAAATATTAATAAAAAAATCATTTATCTATGGATTAGTGTGAATGCTGATAAATTAGTATATTTAATGATGTGCTTAATTTATTTTCTTTCTTAATTATTATTTATAATGACAATAGCTTCTAAACCAATTAAAAAAATCAAGCTAAATAATTTTTGAAAGATAATCATATATATTAAAATATAGTATTATATAGTCATTTTAATGAAATGATGAATGAGAATTATGCTTTAATAAATTCTAATTGTGGAGCTACTTTATATATTAGAGTGTAAAGTACATTAGATATAGAAAATTGAAAACCAAATACATGAATTGCTTTGCATAGACATTCACATAGTGAAATAGATATTTTACCAACTAAAAAAACTTTGATAGCCATGCTTTGAGTTCCATTATTGCCTCTTTCAAAGAATAAATCACAGTTGTGAGTGTTCCAGTTGATTATCTAAAGTATTGTATCCCTTTCTCCAGATCTCTGGTGAGATATTCCCCTAGTGTTTGTAATTGTCTAATCGATGTGGTTTGATTGACTATGTCTGGGGTCTAGGAAAGTCGACCTCTTAAATCTGATTGATTTTCGAGAAGTCTTTGACCCTTTTTTAAAATGCCCCTTTGACATCATGTGACAAAATTTACAATAAAAAAATTTTTGATCAGTATATTGTCTATTTTTAAATTAATCAATAATGAAAGCCATTAAAGTATTTAAATTAAATAAGGTTTATTGAAAATGAAATGTAAAGAGAGTGATATTGTAACTATTGATAAAGGTTAACTCTTTTAAAAGTTTAATTGCTATAGATTAAATCAAAAAAATAGATGTTTCTGATTTTACTAAAATTTCACAATTGCAACATGTAATTCTCAAGGCCAGAACAAAATATGACAGTATATACAAATAAGAGATGAAAAAATAACATTTTTGATTAATTAGTAACCATGACATTGGGTATTTAAAATAATACCTAATTGTTAATGAGAATGCTGATTAATTGGGAGAGAAAACATTAGCTCTTTAGTTAACTTAATTTATTTAATTTTTGTATATCTCTAAAAATTGAAGTGTATGGAATTAAAAAAAATAAGGCCAATTTACATTAATTCCAGTTCATGTTCAGATTGATATCACTTTTCATAAATATATAAATCACTCATTTTGCCTTTCTACTTCATCTATTATTCATAATATTTTATCTTCTCTATTGTTTTATTAAACATTTTTTTTGAATACTTTGATTACCTTTTCATAGCTCTCTCTTTCATTCTTAATCATTCACTCTCTTTTTTGATTGAAATGTAATCTAGAATTTGATTTCACGATCAAAATAATGAAAGATATTTAACTTCTCTTATTCTTAGCTATGAGTATTTATTATTTGAGTTGTATAACTTTATCGTTTTCATTGCTACTATTTTCTCACTTTCATTACAAAATTATAACTAATAGAATCAAATCTTATAAGATCAAAAGCAATAGGAACACCAGAAAGCATTGATAAAATAAAAGATAACTTTTTATTCAAGTTTAACTATTCATAATAGAATAATAATTAAAATATTTTATGATTCAAATATAAAAATAATAATCTATAGATGTCATTACAAATATAAATAATATTAAATTTATAAATAAAAAAATTCATTAAATCAATATTCCAATGTAAATTTTTTTCTCTTTTTAAAAGGAATCTATTTTATAAGATTTTAATTTATTAAACTTAATTCTTTCTTGATTTTAGGGCTCTGATTTTCCAAGCTCTGGTATACATTGTTCTGATTTTCAAAGCTCTAATTTACATCATTATCATTTTGATTTTTAAAGCGTTTTTATCCCTCAAAAATATTTAAATTAATTACCTTTTTTTTCTGTTTAATTTTAGAATCCTAATGAGAAACACAATCATTGAACTGCTCTATCTCATTAGTCTGATAATACGAATCAGAAAAAATATGAGTTGAATGTTATATGCGAATATAAATAGACATAATAGAGGCTTAAAAGTTTTAATATTAGTTGTCGAAATAAATTTCCTCATAATTATTCCAAAGGATGTTAGTAGGTAATTGCAATTGAGGACTTATAGTTTAATAATCCGGTATTAATGGAATTTGGCTCTAAGCCAAGTCTTTTTCCTGAATTATTGTCAGAAAATTTAAATAATGAAAAATTTTAAAGTTCGTCAGGGTTTTTAACATAAAAATGTTATTCTATTAAATAAATCTATTAGAAATTATATACATCTAAAAAATGATATAAATGAATTAATGAACAATTATAATTTTATGTGGCTCTATTTTTTTTAATACTGTCAAGTAAATCCAAGAAGTAAACTTTGATAATAAATTTGTTTAAGTAATTATATTGTATTATATTAAATGTCAAAGAATGGAATGTAATTGTAATTATTCAAAATGGATAGTGAGATAAAGTTTAGAATACAATAAATAGAGAAATGATAAAAATATAATATTATTTGAACATGTAGGTAGAAATTTGAAATAGGAAAACGGAAGGAGTAGAGAGATTTAAAATAAATTATTATGTGAATCAGAAAAATTATTTAATAGTATATAAAATAATTCTAAAGATCTTTATAATAAAGATTCAAAATAGATAGGCTTCAGATAAATCATTAGATTCTAAAGTTTAATTGATTTGCTTTTCATCATCTTCATGTGGTTTGAAGAAAAACTTTATATTTTCTTAACTATCAATTATTCATAATGAACCTTACCTGTTAATGTTTTGTGGGAAACTGTTAGTTGAATGAGTAATTACACGAATTTATCCATTTAATCTATATCCGAATTACTCGCTTTAATTAAATTTTACATTTCTCATCCCATCTATATAACAACCTTATTTATTAGACAATCTATTGCTATTATTTATGAATATGGTATAATAGAGATATATAATTAAACAATTAAATTATTTAACGTTTTGAATGCTATAAAGTGTGGAGATAAAATACATCTTAAGTTAGAAGCATAATATTCTAAAATATAGCGCTAAAAAGCAAAATTACAAAATCGAAATAACTATATGATGCCTAATATGAATAATATTGAATTAACATTAAATCGACTTACTCTCTGTTAGAAAATATTAATTAATAATTAGAGTAATTTAGCACTTTAAATATCTTAGTTTTAATTTATGTATGAATTTTGTCGATTCACTATGCAAATATTAACTCAAGTTATTTTTAATAGAAGTTGATCTAAAATTGTTTTTAGAAGGATAAATGGATAATTCTATAACATTCAAGCTATATTAGAAAAATAATTAATTCTAAATACAAATATCTACTTCACTAGATTCTTAAAAAATAGGAATTCTTGTTTAAGTTCTTGATAGTGGAGGATCAATAAAATAAGTTTATGAAATAATTACACCAAAACTTGCATAAATAGATCGCGTTTAAATTTAATTTTAGAATTTTAATCTATTAAATAAAATAGTATTGCTATTTGAAGCTATGAATCAAAATGTAATAAATTACATAAAAAAATATATAATCATTTACTTAATTATAAATTTTACAAAAGTAAATGAATAATATCTTAAAATTTTAAGCAATTAAATTATATTAACAATTTTAAATAATTGAAGTATCATCAAAATCCTAAAATCTATAATTAGTCAGTTATTTAGTTCTAAAAATTATAGTTTATTTAAAAAATTTGGATAAGTTTTAGAAAAATTTTAAACTAATAAATATACAAGAGCTACTATATTTAAATTAGAAGCCTTTAGATAGATGTTAAAAAAGTAATAAAAATCCTAAATTAGATTCAAATGCATTTACAAAAATGAATTTTATTGAATTATTGATCGAGCTTTATCATCATAAATTAAAAATATTTATTATAATTAAAATGATAGATAAATAAATGAATTACAAATTGTCTCGTTTTATGCATTTGACAATTAAGATAAGATTAAAAATTTAAGTCAATAAAGCATTCCTTAAAAAAATTCAAAACTACTTCAACAATTTCAAGGAAAAATCAAAGAAAAACATTATTTTTCTTTCTAATTTGTATGGAAGTTGTACAATTTTAAACCTATATTTCATTTCTAGGATATCTAACACTTTTGTACATCAAAAATCTCAAAATTCGAATATAATTTATATTTTATTTTTGTTTCCTAAAAAATTATTTTAATATATTTAATAATATATTGCAATTATAAAAAGTATAATCATTTTATTGGAACTAAACCACCAATATGATGATTATCCTATATTTATTCATCTAAGCAAAACTTTATATTATCAGTTAAATCATTCAACATTCTAAAAAGTATGATTTCAATTTCTTTCTCAGATATAGGCTTTTTTGAAAAAAATGATTCAGGTAGAATCAAACATAAAAACATAATATTGTTTAATTTTATTGCAATTAGATTACCTTTGGCTGATTCATTTAGACAACCTTATATCCTAATTAAAGTCTTATTATATCTATCTTTCTATAATTCTCTAACATCCATATATTCCTTAGACTTAAATCTAAGGAAAGCAATTCAAGAATTATTAAGTCTTTATTTTTAGAGTATTGACTTTATCCTATGAAATATTTTATGCTTCATCTGCATTATTTAATATAGTAGAGTTATTTAAATGTTATTTGACTTCATTATTGTATTTTTTTGTTATATTTTCTATTTATTATTTATATATCACACTTAATGGAATTAATTTTCTTGTAATAGAATTTCAACTTTTACTTTAAAAAATAATATGAATATATATAATTCTTATAGTTTTATGTTAGATATGTAATTTTAAATTATCAAATTAATCAAAGTAAACATTAACTAATCTATTTCATCATGCTTCAAAATACGTATGATTTACTATTTGTTATTTTAATTAGAATTTAAAACTTTATAATAACTTAAATTATTCTTTTTTTTCTTTAATAAAAAATAAAAAGTTTTTTTACACAAATTAAAATATTTTAGGCAAAAATAATATGATGTGATTTTTTAAGAATGATATATACATAAACAAAAAAAATTTATTTTCCTCTCATAACATAGTTATTGATTTAAATTAAAAAAAAANCATTTCTAGGATATCTAACACTTTTGTACATCAAAAATCTCAAAATTCGAATATAATTTATATTTTATTTTTGTTTCCTAAAAAATTATTTTAATATATTTAATAATATATTGCAATTATAAAAAGTATAATCATTTTATTGGAACTAAACCACCAATATGATGATTATCCTATATTTATTCATCTAAGCAAAACTTTATATTATCAGTTAAATCATTCAACATTCTAAAAAGTATGATTTCAATTTCTTTCTCAGATATAGGCTTTTTTGAAAAAAATGATTCAGGTAGAATCAAACATAAAAACATAATATTGTTTAATTTTATTGCAATTAGATTACCTTTGGCTGATTCATTTAGACAACCTTATATCCTAATTAAAGTCTTATTATATCTATCTTTCTATAATTCTCTAACATCCATATATTCCTTAGACTTAAATCTAAGGAAAGCAATTCAAGAATTATTAAGTCTTTATTTTTAGAGTATTGACTTTATCCTATGAAATATTTTATGCTTCATCTGCATTATTTAATATAGTAGAGTTATTTAAATGTTATTTGACTTCATTATTGTATTTTTTTGTTATATTTTCTATTTATTATTTATATATCACACTTAATGGAATTAATTTTCTTGTAATAGAATTTCAACTTTTACTTTAAAAAATAATATGAATATATATAATTCTTATAGTTTTATGTTAGATATGTAATTTTAAATTATCAAATTAATCAAAGTAAACATTAACTAATCTATTTCATCATGCTTCAAAATACGTATGATTTACTATTTGTTATTTTAATTAGAATTTAAAACTTTATAATAACTTAAATTATTCTTTTTTTTCTTTAATAAAAAATAAAAAGTTTTTTTACACAAATTAAAATATTTTAGGCAAAAATAATATGATGTGATTTTTTAAGAATGATATATACATAAACAAAAAAAATTTATTTTCCTCTCATAACATAGTTATTGATTTAAATTAAAAAAAAAAAGAATTAAGAAATTTAAATTTGAGGGGAAAAAAGTAGGTTGAGTATTTAAGCATTTTAAGATCTTATTCTGCTTCTTTCTTTTAGAATTTAAGTTATTTATAAACTTTTATGTTGGTATGGGATTTTACTTCACATTACAGTTTGATGATTCGAATTCTGCTCTAGAGGTGGCATTAAGCATCAATAAATAATATTAAATGCTTTAAGTCTAAGTAATAACATAAGATAATTTTTCTTTTACTTTAGAAATGATTTGATAATTTAAAAAAAGAAATCTTATTTCAACAATAAATTGTCAATATATATTTTAGTTGCCACCAATATGTAATTTGATAAGATTTTCTTTATCATATTATAAAATTATTAAAGCAATTTCCTTTTGTAACTAGTAAAGAAGATAATATATTTTTGTGAAAGATTTTTTTAAAATATATAAAGAGAAGAAAATATATATTCATAATTAATATAATATGTAATTTTAAATCATTTTTTCATGTAATATGTAATCTCATTATGAACTAAATATTTGCAAACTTAACCAACTATCAAGTTTTAAAATGAATTAACTTTATCACTATCTTGGGATTCCGTAACTTCTAAATCTTAAAAGTCTTTCTTAAATTCAGTTATCATTCCATTAATTGATTAATTAAGTTGCAATATTTTAAATAAAACCTTTTTCTTCCATAATTTTTATAGGATATCGTTTTAATTTAGCTTACAAGGACAACTTTCAGGAAAGCTATCAGTATAATTATGATATTATTTTCCATGTGGTGGAGCATCTGCTATTAAATAAAGTAATTTGACATATATATCAGTCCAATTTAATTTAAAAGAAGTATCAAAACCATCTAAAACAGCCTCAGGACCTTCTTCTCCTCCATCTGCAGTTAATTTATTTAAGAATTAAATGACGACATTTTCTGATGTGAAATCTTAAATATCTAAAATTTTTTATGATGATTTATAAGGAGGATCATGTTCCTTGTAAAAAATAACTGCAAAACTTACATCCAATATCATATTTTTTTAAGCTTTTGTTTTTATCTTTACACATATTTATATATGAAGCCATAGATCCTGTAGTGTCACAAAAGCAATATTAATTTCTTAAATTTAGTTTTTTTTATGGTCTTCAGTACAAAAAAATCCATGACTACTAATTTTATTGTTTTATGAATGCCAAGCATCTTATTCACAATATTCATAATCGTTTTTTTAGAACTAACAAATAGGATAAAAATAATTACATCTTCTAATATTATTAGCTTCACTTTTAATTGGATGTGCCCGTTTATTAAGTTACCAAAAATCTAAACACAAAATTTGATCAAAATTTTATTTTTCAAAATTTATATTTTTTTCTTTTGAATGTCTTGCCTTATTTTTAAAATTATTATCTTTTTCTAACCATAAACTACCCCCTTTACATTCTACTAAATGAAAATGAGCTTTTCCATTCTTTTACAACTTTAGTCACATGCTTCAGGAGATCACCAATTTAATATTTTCTAATTGTATCTTTACTCTCATAAATTTCAATTTATTCTAAATTGCCTTCTTTTTAAGTAAATATTTAATTTTCTTTATTTCGATGTTTATCAGAGGAGTGCACTCCTTAAAGGCCATATCTCAAATCACAAAATGTATTACATTCTGGACATTATTAATTACAATTATGAAATTGTTTTTCAGTCTCATTTTTACAACTATGCTTTCCATCATGTTTAAGTTTACCTGGAGGAATCTCTAAATTACATTGTTGTTTTCCTATATTCTTTGGTTTATATTTTGTGTATTAAAATTCAGATATTTAAGACTTCCAAATCACTTCTTTAAACTCATATTCTATTTTGCAAATCCCTTTATCGTCACATTTTTCTTAACAGTAATGTTTTTAATCACAAAAGTGATGCCCTTTGTCTTTAGATTTATTATGTGTATCTTAATATCGACTTGTACATAAACTACAATCATGGGTACAATATATTTCTTTGCAATCATGATTATGAATATGAGGAATTGAATGATCCTTTTAACAATTTTTATCACAATATTTACATTTTTCTTTACAAGGGTGATCATTTTAACAATTATGCTATTAATCATGTTTAAAACTTTTCATACAAGCATTCTTACAATCACCTATTTCACAAGTCCCAAAACATTTGTCAGAACATAGATGTTCCTGTATTTTATCATGACCCGCCTTCTTATTGCATATCTTATTTGGGCATATCGAACAAACTTAATCACATTTATGACTTTCCCTTAAACATGAATGTATACTTAAATTATTAAAATTAGAAGGTATCATTTTTTTATCATTAAAACTAAGAATACTTCAAATTTTTATTAATCAAGCTCAATAAGATGATTTTATATTTTTTTCAATTTTTCAGCATCTGTTTCAACCTAATTAAAAGTTACTAAATTATTATTTGATTTTAATTATTCATCTTAAGATTTTGTATTATCTTTTCAACTTCTTCAACTTTTTTAGATACCTGTGATAGTATATAGTTTTTATAAGTACTTGATTGATCCCATTCAGAAAAAGCACTTTAGTTCCTAATTCGACATCTGAAACTTTATTTTTAGGTTTAAAATGTTATAAGTTGACTAGATCTTTCATTTAGCTCAACAATTAACTTATTGATATCTTCATTTTTCTTTTATATTTTATTATCCTTTTCTTGATAATCTTTTATTTTGTAATTATTTTCTAATTTCCAATATTTTTTAAAAAGTTTTTTAGTTAAGCGTGTGCCATAAATTTATATCCATTTCCTTAAGATAATTTTGTTCTTGAATTTAATATTAGTTTATTTAAATTGGCATTAATTTTAAGATTAAAATAATAAATGATTTGGGTTTTGGTGAACTCAAAAGTATTTATATTTCCCTATTTTGATTTATTAAATTGTTATGTATTACTTTTAATTTAATTTATATGAAAGCCTAATCATTTTTAATTTTTCTTTAAACAATGATTGAATAGTCAGATTTCATTTTTATAGAAATATGAAATATTTTTTGTAATAGAAATAGGAAAATAATTAAAATCTGATTTTCATAATTTTTAATAAAGTCAAATGATTGAGATACATTACATAGACAAAGAGTTTGATAATCAAGCTATAATAAACAATTTTATAAGCTATTTTGATGAAAAGTGTGAAACTTTATAGTTTTGTAAAAATCTACGTAATTTTTCAAGAATATATAAATTAACTCAAGAATAACTAGATCACATACTAATTAAATTATCAGAAAATGTCATAAAATTAGAAAACTAAATTATTTTAAGTTAAGTTATAAAATATAGTCTTAAAAATGGCTAATAATCAAGAGTCTCTAATCTAAATGTTGTATTAAACTCAAATAATGATAAAAGCTTGTAAGCTGAAATTCTTCAGGGTCTTATCTATATGTTAGAATTAACATAGTATTAAAAGATGGAAAGTTCAGAGAAAGAGTAAATTAGAAAAATAATTAAAAAAAATGAGCTTGATGAAGAAATGAAATTATAAATCTAACAATTGATTTAAGATCCTTAACAAAAACTACAAATTTTTAATGTTGTGCCTAATAATAGTCATCCAAGGGATATAAAGTTGAATTTAAGGCTAGCAAGAACGAGAGAAACTTAATTATATAAATAAACTAACATCATTACTGAAAGGCAAACAACTATAAACATCCAAAAATTGTCTATTAAATCAATTTAAAATATGAACTCCGATTCAATGAAAATTGTTTAGCAATAGAAATTACCTGAACCAATCAAAAACATTACAGGAACTGATAGAAGATCATGGTTCAATAATAATTATGAAGATACTTAAATATTATATAAAATAGTTGTATCTAATGAGGATTTATTAAAGGATGAAGATCAAAAATTCTTAACAAAAATACTCATTTCTAAAAGCTTTAAAAATGCTCTTTAAATTTTAATTGCCAGCAGAATGATTATCTCAATCTTCTTACATCTTTCGAAAAGAACAATACAGAAAAGATAAATAATATCACAAACCACTCTTTAACAAATAATTTAATTTTGCTCAAATAAGAAAGATATTATCAATATGCTTTATAATAAATAAGAAGACAAAATTTTAAAATCAATTTAATAAGACTAGGTTGAAAAAGAATAACCAAATGAAATCGAAAAGGAAGCGTTAGGTTCGTTTAGAGTAAATAATCCTTAAAATTTTTTCAATATATAAATAGATAAAATAAGATGTGATGCTATCTAATCAATTTATAATCTAATTCAAATTCAAAAGGTTTCCATAGATGATAAAAATTTGCTTATAAAGCTACAAGAAAATCTAAAAGATGAAAACGATGAATTTAAGACTTATTCATTTCAACTATATACTTTATTAGAAAAATATTTTGATTATTGTGTTGTTTTTCGAAATTTTTTTCCATATTTAATAGGTTAGAATAGCTAAATTGAAGAATGTTGTTATTTAACAATAAGAGAATATGCAAAAAACAAAGAAAGATGTTGTAATTTATTTAAGGAAGTTTACATTAGAGATCTCTGCTCATATATAATAAAATAGGAATAAGGAAAATTAAATAGATGTTAATTATTAAATATTTGTTTAGAAAATGGTATTATAATTGGTTTAGATGAAGATAATGTCAATTTGCTTATTGATGAGATTTTCATATCCAAAGATTAAAATATTAAGCATGAGATCATTAAGACTCTATTATATATATCTAAATTAAATCCAAATATAGTATCAAAGTATTCAGTAAATCAATTAGCAACAAGAATAAATGAATTTGATGGAAAAGATAAGATATTTAAATATATCATAATTATTTTAGGAGTTATTTCTTAAATTTAAATAATTGAATCATTGGATGCCCTTTCTGAGCATTTGATAAATGATGAGAAAGTAGAAGATGGAGATATCTAAATAACATTTGAAAACCCAATAATAGATAGAACTGTATCATTTATAGTTTGCTAAATAATACTAACTTATTAATAAATTCATAAAATAATTTCTAAATTGGTCATCTAAAATCTAATCAGGGCTTTAGAAAATGAAAATACCACAAAATTATTATTAGCAAGAATTTTATCGAATGTTGATAAATTGGATATTGATTAGGAAACCTTAAAAGAGAAAATCTTTGTGTTCATTTAAGATCAAGATACAGAATTAGCTTATTATATGTCTATTGTTTACACTAATGAATTCACAAGGATTTCGACATAAGACGTGATTACAGAATTTGAATTTTTATCAAAATGTTAAATTATCAGCAATAAAATGACGATTTATCCAAATTAAGAATGTAAAATCACATCCAATAACATATTTATTCTCAAAAATTAAATAAATATTTTTAATGAAATAAGCTAAGATCAAGCAGAAATTATAAAATTAATTTTAGAAAGAAATGATGATGTTTTACAAACAGAAGTCATAAATACCTTATTTGAGATTGCAAATTAAAAAATTTTAATACATGAATCAATAATTGAAGCTATATAAGATCTTACAAATAATTAAGATAAATGGATAAAATTAATTGAATTAATTATCAATAATGGTTAAAGCGTAACTCATCTTATTTTAGAAAAATTTGTTAAATTTTTATACTTTAACGAAGAATATTCTGAATCTGCTTTTTAAATTCTGGAAAAGGCCAATTTCAATTAAGATTTACCTGATGAAATATTTATTCCATTATAAATCGAAAAAGCAGCCCATTCAATCTGTTCAGGATCTCAAGTAAAACATAATGCTATAAAATATTTGCTAATTGAAGTGTAAAAAGGGAATAAGCTATCTAAAAATGCTTTTAAATCATTAGAAACAGAATTAGAGAATGATTAAATCGTGGATATTTTAATTTAAATATCTAAAACTAATTAGACAATTCCAAAAAATATAATAGATAAGTTGGTATAATTGTTCAATCCAGCTTTAGCATAAATTAAACTCATTTAACTTTTTAAATAAATTTCCAATAATAACTAAGAAATTATTCAAGAATTAATTGATAAATTAGAAAAAGCTTTAGTTAATGATGAGTTAAAGGATGAGGTATTTTTATTTTTTGCTTCTTATGGATAAAGAGATTAGCAATTATCAAGGAAGATTATATAGCAGATGTTAATTAGATTGTAAAACAATCCAAGTTAAGAATTGAAAATAGAATTATTAAATACGCTAATCTTTTAAATTGATAAAATTTAATAAGATCCTGTAGCTATTGGAATTATTAGAGATGAGATAAATTAAGAATTGCATAAAGAAGATACAAACTCGTTAAACTCATTATTGTTTGAAGGTATTTCTAAATTAATGTCGAAAGGCTGTATCAATGAATCATTAATTGAATCACTATTCAAAAAAATGTAATCTTAAACTTGTTCGTAAGAAACTATATTAAAAATTTAAGGTTTACTTCCATAGGATGATTTCTTAAACCCAAGTTAAATAGATATTCTTTAATTATTCAAAATAAATTCATTAAATTCGAAAAAATTTTTTAAAGAAATTAAATCCTTTAGAAATAAAAATCTGATTCCTCAAAATTTTGATAAGATGAAAGAATTTTTGAAAGAAAATCCTGATAATACGAGGGCTATTATTAATATCTTGAAATATTGTTAAAATTAAAAAGAAATTCCATAAGATTTTTTAGAAAAGATCATTCTTTTATCTAATTCCTTTGATTAAGATCTATAGAATGACTTTCAATCTTTTATTAATAGCTTAATTAAAAATAAAGTTCAATTTACTGAAAAAGTATTGCCATTTATTGTTAATTTTAAAGACAAAAACTTTTCAGAAAAAACTATTTAAAATATTTTTTCCTACTAAAAATCAGATTTAATTTAGAAGCATATTGAAGCTATCAATTCAAAGAATTCTCCCAAATTTTCAGCCACTGAAATAGAAAACATTTTAATGTAAAATCCAGAAGATAACATTATTGATAAATACACAAAATTAATTATTAAAAATACATAGTAAACCAAGGAATAAAAATAAAAATTAAAATTAGAGTTGACGATATAAAGTTTATTTAGTAAAAAAAAATCGAATATTAATGATAAATCCTTATTGAAGTGTCTATCTTTTGCTTCTCAATGTAAAAATATGATTATTGAATAAGAGATATTAGCTTATTTTTATTAAAATATGCTAAATCAAAAAAACGATCTTATGATTCGTAGTTTGTCTTTTAGAGGCTTGCAATCTGCCATTGAAATAGAATTTAAACTTAAAGAGTTTAAAGATTGTTATACTTATTTATTAAATAATTACGTATTAAATTAAGTTTTTAGATAATTTCTAATATATTGCAGATAAAATATAAAAACTATTGAAGAATAACTAAAGATAAAATTAGATTTTCATTAAATTGAAATTTTAATTCTGATCCCACAATTAGATTAAGAAATAATTATTAATAATCCATAAAATTTTACAATCGGATTGATCAAGCTAATTTTATTTTAGAAGTTTTCGTCAACATTGGATGAGAAATAGATATTTTAGGAGACTTTGAAAAAATTAAATGAAAATTTAGAGAATCAATTGAAAACAATTTTACAATTGTTGTTATCAGAGAAATTTGAAACACTTGAGTAAATATTGGATATATTAAAATTCATATAGGATTAGGAAGAAAATGTAATTCAAAAAATTTTATATTTTTAAACTGACCCATATTATAAATTTAAATAAAAGTGGATTGATTAATAGTTACAAATCAAATTTGAAGATTAATACTAAGAACAGTCACCTTTTAAAAGTTTGTTAGAAATTATGGTTCAGCTACCTGTTGCTGCAATTGAGTAATTGTTAACAATAAAAGATAACTTCTATGAATTTAATTAACTCATTTCATTTATTAATAAGTATAAACTTTTCAATTATAAGCCGCTTTAATAAGACTAGAACAATAATTACATGAAATTATTAGAAAAATGCTAAAAATATATCCTAATAAATCAAATAGAATTTAGTAGTTAAAAAAAAAAAACAAATTTAATCATAAATGTTTTGATTGAGTAATTTGGTTGGACATTTTAGCACTTGGATGATATATTCAAAGTTGGGTTGAGTACAAAGGATGATGATAANAAAGTTTATTTAGTAAAAAAAAATCGAATATTAATGATAAATCCTTATTGAAGTGTCTATCTTTTGCTTCTCAATGTAAAAATATGATTATTGAATAAGAGATATTAGCTTATTTTTATTAAAATATGCTAAATCAAAAAAACGATCTTATGATTCGTAGTTTGTCTTTTAGAGGCTTGCAATCTGCCATTGAAATAGAATTTAAACTTAAAGAGTTTAAAGATTGTTATACTTATTTATTAAATAATTACGTATTAAATTAAGTTTTTAGATAATTTCTAATATATTGCAGATAAAATATAAAAACTATTGAAGAATAACTAAAGATAAAATTAGATTTTCATTAAATTGAAATTTTAATTCTGATCCCACAATTAGATTAAGAAATAATTATTAATAATCCATAAAATTTTACAATCGGATTGATCAAGCTAATTTTATTTTAGAAGTTTTCGTCAACATTGGATGAGAAATAGATATTTTAGGAGACTTTGAAAAAATTAAATGAAAATTTAGAGAATCAATTGAAAACAATTTTACAATTGTTGTTATCAGAGAAATTTGAAACACTTGAGTAAATATTGGATATATTAAAATTCATATAGGATTAGGAAGAAAATGTAATTCAAAAAATTTTATATTTTTAAACTGACCCATATTATAAATTTAAATAAAAGTGGATTGATTAATAGTTACAAATCAAATTTGAAGATTAATACTAAGAACAGTCACCTTTTAAAAGTTTGTTAGAAATTATGGTTCAGCTACCTGTTGCTGCAATTGAGTAATTGTTAACAATAAAAGATAACTTCTATGAATTTAATTAACTCATTTCATTTATTAATAAGTATAAACTTTTCAATTATAAGCCGCTTTAATAAGACTAGAACAATAATTACATGAAATTATTAGAAAAATGCTAAAAATATATCCTAATAAATCAAATAGAATTTAGTAGTTAAAAAAAAAAAACAAATTTAATCATAAATGTTTTGATTGAGTAATTTGGTTGGACATTTTAGCACTTGGATGATATATTCAAAGTTGGGTTGAGTACAAAGGATGATGATAAATAAAAGTAAGATAATAAATAGGCTCAATAAAAAAGTTTCATAAAAGTTCTCTAAATATTATCAAATTTCCATATTTCCCCTAATGATAAACTATAATATTTAGACATCTTTAGTTAGCCTTATCAGAATTGGGAAACTCTCGCTTATAAATGCAGTTTGTAAAAAAATTTTACTTAATCAAGCAACCATTAAAAGATTTTAGAAAAATTGTTCAATGAATTAAAAAATTTAAACAACGATAAAATTTAAGAAAATCTATAAGAAATGATATAAAAAATTAAATCATTTTCATTAAGAAGTACAATTTTTCCGAAATATGAATCAATTAATAATTGGAAAGATGATTAAATTAAGGAATGGGCTAAAAAGGTTAAACAATAATAATTTTTTAATTCAAAAATTGATGCTTTAATTGAAGCAATGGCAGTCATAAAAAATGCTATATATAAATAATTTTAATTTTAATTAACTGATAATTAATTAATGAGTGCACTTTTGGTATTATAACAAAAAGATAAAGGAACACTTTTGCAAGTTAGTACTGGGTAAGGAAAATCAATTATTATTTGTATGGTAGCAATTATTGCAGCTTTAGAGGGAAAGAAAGTAGATATTATAACATCTTCGCAAATTTTGGCTCAAAGAGATGCTAAAAAAAATGAAAAAATCTATGAAATGTTTTCTCTCACTTGTAGCAGCAACTAAGATCTTTCATTCTAAAATATAGGTTCAAAAAAATGTTATGATTGTGAGATAGTTTATGGTGAAGTTTCATAATTTTAATTTGATTTTTTAAGAGATAATTATCTGAAATAGTAAACTCTTTGTGGAAGATCTTAAGATTTTGTAATTGTTGATGAAGTTGATAGTATGCTTATTGATGAGAGCTCAAAAATTGCAAGACTTTCTTCGTAAATATCTGGACTAGATTTATTTAAACCTATTTATATTAAGTTATGGCAATTATGTTAAACAAAGTATCGATAGGTAATAAAAATTGATTAAGATTTTTATTTTTTTAATGGAACTTTAAATTTTAATGGAGATAAGACTACTCTTGATTATTTAGGAGATAACAATCATAAATAACACATCTCAGATTTAAAATAATATGTTGTTGAGCAAGAAGATATAAGTAAAATTGGATGTGTTATAAAAGAAAAAGTCCCAGAATTTATAAGTAAATAAATAGAATAAGAAATCAAAGTGTTCATTAGCAACCTTTATCTACCTTAGTATTTTTAACCTATTCTTGACATTTAACTTCCAAAATGGATAAATAACTTATTTGTTGCTAATGCATACTAAGAGAAAGTCTAATATGTGAAAAATAAAGGTATGATTAAACCTGTTGATTATTTTTCTACAGGTTAGATTCTTGATTCAACAAACTGGCAAGATGGATTGCATCAATTTTTATAGATTAAGCATAATTTAAGATTGACTTCTGAATCATTTACATCTAACTTCCTTTCAAATATTGGTTATTTTAAAAAATATGGAAAGAATATTATTGGTTTATCTGGAACCCTTGGATCAAAACATGCTCAAGAAGTTTTGAAAAAGACATATAATGTTTCTATTTTGACAATTCCAGACATTAAAGAAAAGTAATTTGTTGAGTATCCTATCGCAATTTTACCAAATCAATAAGAATAAATTACAGAAATTTGCAATTCTGCAATTGATGAAACTAAATAATAGAGAGCAGTGTTAATAATTTGCGAAACTATTAATTTCGTTGAAAAAATTCATCAAAATTTATTAACAAAATATGAATCTAGATTGTTAAAGTTGTATCACATGAATAATATGAATTTAGAATAAAAAATTTAAAATATTTCTGCAGGAGAAATAATTGTTGCAACTAATTTAGCTGGAAGAGGTACAGACATCAAAGCAGATTAAATATAAAATTAAGGAGGTCTACATGTGATTTTGACATTCTTGCCAGACAATTAAAGAGTTGAGGAATAAGCTTTTGGAAGAACTTCAAGAAATGGATAAAAAGGAACAGGTTAAATGATATTGAATAAATTGAATTTACCTTTTCAAGGCAATCATAATAGATAATAGCTAAAATAACTAAGAGATGATAGGGAAGAAAAAATTCTTAAAGAATTCTTAAATTCTTAAATGAAGATGATAGAGATTAAAGATGATTTATTTAAGATGTTTAATGAAGATTTAAATAATTATAGGTAAAAATTAGCAAAAATTAAAAAGTCAACAACAGTCCTCATTCACTTCTCAATATAAGATGTTGAAGAGGAGTGGGCTGTTCTACTAAATTCAATTGAAAATGAATAAATTACTAAAGAACAGGCAAAATAAAAATATGAAAGTTTCAAAAATAGATTTAAAATGGATTTTTAAATAAAAAACCCATTTAATTATATTTCTATAGGAAATGAGTTATTAATATAAAATAGAGTATTTTTAGGAATACAATTGAATTCCGAAGCAAAAAAGTACTTTAAATCAGCAATTAAACTAGATAACAACAATCTTGCTGCTTATTTTGGTTTAGGCTGTTTAAAAATTTTGAAAGACAAACTGAAGGCAAAAGGATTTTTCAGTAAAGCCAAAGAGATAACTGAAAGGGAGATAAATATTTTAAAAAACACAATTCTAGATCTCATTTTTCTAAATTCTGATAACAGCAGTGATTTATTCAAATAATAATTGTAGTAAATTAATATGTTAGAACATTTTTATTCAAATTTAAAAAATAATATTAAAGAAATTGAAAAATCTGAAAGGTTGATTAGAATCACTAAAATAATAAACAATTCAAGAAATTGTTCAAAAAATATCATTTATCAAAAGTAAGTTTTTAATAAAATTAAATTGGAAGATGTCTTGAGTAAATTTGAGGGAGAACAACATTAGCGAGACGATTATGAAATAATGTTCAGAAATTTAACTGCATCAAAAGATATATTGACAATTGACTAAGCAAAAAACATTATTGAGAACTTTTAGAAAGAGCTTGGCAAAACTTAAGTATTAGAGTTCGCAATAGAATCATAAAAAATTTAACTTAATTAAATTTAATCAATTATTAAATTGTTTGAAATAAATCTTTAATTCAAAAATCTAAATCATCAACAATGCCAAACTATTTTTTCATCAATTTCTTCCAAAACAATTGATTTAAATTTAAAAGTTCAATATTCAGACATTAAAACAATTTTATTAAACAATACATTTATCAACGATATTGAAGTTACTCATGAAGAAAATGGTGCTTTGATAACACTTTGCACATTAAAAGATGTTGAGAAATAAGTTGTAGATTTAAATTCCTTCTAAAATATATCTATTAGAAACCTTGATTTTGAAAATGCCAAAGCATTTATAAATTCTTTACCAAACACTTTATTGTTTAATTTAAAATTTAATAATGCTATAATAGAGAAATAGGAAAAAATTGATTTCAATACCAAGACTGAATTCATAAAATTAAAATAGGAGGATTCTAAAAAAGTAATTGATTTTTTCAGGTAATAATAAATTCAATTTAATATAAAGTTTAAAAAATTACAATATTATTAAATTAGAAACTCAATATAAGAAGTTAGATTCGATTAAATGTATATTAAAATAAATGGAATTCAATTTTTGAACTAAATCTTTTTTTTCTCTGAAATTCCACAAAATGAGTTAGATGAGTTAAAATTAAGAGGCATAGATTTCATCATTTATTTTAATGAAAGGTCTTCCAAAAAATGGACGATTCTCAGTTTATGTTAAGTTAATTTATTGTTCTATGGTATTGGTTGTTTAGCTTTAATAATCAACCCTTACTTATTTTTGGCCTTGTGGGGAATGGCATATTTAGGTGGAGTATCGTTAACAGTAACTTCAACTGTTTAAATACTGGAAGAAATTTAATCAAATAAATAAATGTGGAAACAAGATTATGGAAGAAATTAAATAGCCAATTATAGAAATTATAATTACATAGTCAACAATTTTTAGATTTTGGAGAATGAAGATTTCAACAAAATGAAGCCTGAGATATCTGAAATTTTAGTAATTAAGTTTAAGCAATTTGATAAATAATACAGCTAAAGTATTTTATTTGAAATTCTCTGTCAAATGATTACTTTATAAAAATTATTCCCAAAGAATCAAATATATTTTAGCATCTTAAAAATAATAACTAAGATTATTGATAGCAAATATTTTTTTATAAATTATTGGAAAAACATTTCTAAATCCTTAACTAGCAAGTTATTAAATTTTGAAGAGTTAATCAATAAAAATAGTTTATCTTTGATTATCTAAAGTGAAGTTAATAAAAATGAAAATATTGATCGCATTATTTAAGAACTAACACTCTCATTAGCAAACTTTATATCTAAATAAGGATTTTTAAAAATTATTGAGAGTTAAGGTATCAATAATTAAGTTGCAAAAAAAATTAAAGAAGACATGTTAAAATTACAATTGATCAAATAATTGTAAATTAATGAAAAAATAATGTTAGAGATTATTGATCCATTTATTTTGATTGGCTAAGTTGATTAAATGTCTTAAGAATTAGATCATTGTTCAGGTAAAATAATAGATTTGTTGTAATAAATTAATTAGTATCGAAAGGAATTTAATATTTTGTTTGAATCATAAATTTAAGAGATAGCAAATGCTTTGGCTGATAAAATAATATCAATATTGGAAAAAGTGGATTTATAGCCAAATGTATTATTATAGAATTTAAAGGAAGGATAAGTTTAAGACAATACTCAAATAAATGTTGGAGAACTCTTTGATGAAAATGTGATAGAAGACGAATTTGAGATTATTGAATGATATTAATTCTATATGATTGTGACAGTTCTTATAAGTTTATCCACCTCCACTTGCTCGATTTATTAGCATATTGGGTTTGGTCAGAACTACAAATCACTGGTATGACAGTACATATCCCAATTGGGGATGGGGTTGGTCCGGATAAGTATTATTTTCCTATTTTTATACATATAGTGGGGTTGGGGTTGGGTCAAGTTGCAGTTGAAAGGGTTTG